TATATTATAGATTTCAAAATTTGAGTTCTCTTACTGTCTTTGTATAACCCTATTCCTCAACATACCTGTTCCCCAAAAGGAAATCTCTGTCATAAATTTATAAATTTTGTAGATGTGTTTTCATCTAAATATTTTCATTATATTGGGTATCCATAACCAGTTTCCTTGAAATGCACTTAAACAGTATAATGTTACCGATATTAAGTTCTCATTTACTGAAACATTGTGTTTCAACTTCTCTGGGAAGTACATGCATCGATTTCACACATTTGAAATGGTGCATAGTATTACTACTGAGTGAAGATCATTTTATTTCTCAATTTCTTATTAAGACCACCCTCCATATTACATGATATATGTATTAAGCACAGTTATTTGAGGTGAAAAATCGATACATGTCCAAATTTACTACTAATTGCTAACATTTGTTTATCAATAGATAGTCATGCACAAGTATGCACTCTTACTATCATGGTATAGAATCACAGCCACCTTTGAGGTTGTCTAGTAATGGTCATTGTTGATGAATACACATGAAAATGACCATCCTGTATAAGGAATAATATCCCCAAGGATCAAATTTCCTTCATAAGCAGTAAAATGCATTGCCATTCATAGGAAACCCTACAATTCATGTTTCATGGGACTAATTTTGCTGGAAACCATTTGACCCATTTCTTTCATTCACAGAACAGCTTACCAGGTTGTAAGAGGATCAATCAAGGCTTCAGTCTCCATTTGCACATCTGGAAAGAAACACAATCATTCAACTCTGATCAAAGAGACAGAAGCTTGGAAAGGGAGCTCAAGGTCCAATTCACATTATCTTTCATGTGCTAAATTTGGAATGTGTATAAATCCCTCAACTTCTCTTAACTGGAAACAGGAGAATAATAGCCATCACTAAGATGCATGTGGCAGCTAACAAAGGTTTGCAACTTGGTAAATACTTAGACATTGTTTTTTAATCATAATTTCAATCGATATGAAAGTAATGGGTTTATTGTTGGAATACATTGTCTGTTGGTATTTATTTATTATATAGGAAAGGTAGAAGCTGAATATGTCCCAGGAAACCTGAGCACAGAATTGAATGTATTCAAATCTTCAAATGTGACTAGGTTCACACAATAGAATTTCTTTTCCGTTTCTCCACTGACTCATTTGGTTTTTATTGTAGGAAAATCTTTCTAATTTAAAATAATAATAATAATAAAAATGGAATGCTGTACACTCTATTAAATGGGTCCTATACACACACACATATAATCTATGATATAGACATATTCGTGCCCTATTTTACTTTGTCTCCATCCCCATGGGATGAAAGCACGGGGTGGAGAGCACTCAGCATGGAAGCCATGAAGCCGAAGCCCGGATTCTGTGAACCAGGGAAGAGTCTATTCCATATTTAACACAGATTTTTTTGTCTGGTTGTGGTTGTAGGCTACTCTGTACTAAGCAAGGGCTAGGCTATGGGGAATGAGAAATCAATGAGACTCTTACTTTCCTTCCAAACATTCACTATATCTACTTATGTATGATTGAAAATGAAACACTAATATAGAGATCCGGTAAAACCCTCTGATTACAGGATACTTTACTTGAATAGTATGAAGCTTTGTCTAAGTTCTATTAATGATCATACCATGTAAGATTAATGGACCCTGAGCAAATGCATTCATCACATATTCAATCAAATATATAATACCTGTTATCTGTTCAATCCTTACAATAATGCACATCTCTTTCTCTATTAGCTATGGGTAAACTCAGACAACAACAGAGAAGCTGAGAAAACTTGTCCAATAGCACGCAGATAATAAATAGAGCAGAAAGAAGGGACAATTAAATCAAAGGTCACTGTGGCCCCTGTCCTAACAATTTTCATTCTGCTTCCTCATATTTCCAAATGTTTAAAGAAGAAGTCCAGGGGACTTAAACAAAGATACACCTTTAAACCAATTCCAGTTACACCTGTAAATTCACTCCAACTTACTGATTAGGAATGGAACCCATGAACCTGTCTTTACATCTCCCTTTGAAATTCGGAGGGGCTAAACTACAAGGAGGAGCGCTGATGGCGCAGTGCCTAAGGCATTAGACTGCTAACCAGGAGGCTGGCAGTTCAAATCCACTAGCCACTCCTCGGAAGAAAGGTTGGGCAATCTACTTCTGTAGAGACACTGCTTCAGAAACCCCAGGAGTGGTTGGTATGAGTCAAATCTGACTCAATGGCAGTGAATTTGGTTTTTGCTTTGGAAATTACAAGGGTGTAGGAGGAAGACGATTACTGAGACAAAATAAAGAAGGGCCAAGAGAGAGATCTGTCCAGAATTATAATCTGCTAACTCCTGATGTAATCCCGCCTGTGTCCTCAACTATTTTCTGATAGTTAAGGCGGCAAGACACACCTACTACTGTACACTGGGTGAAGCACAAAACCCCACGGAAGGGAAAGGGTGAGCAAGGGGCCTCTGCCTGGAGAGAGCAGGGAAGAGAACTGGCAAGGTGGGTGGTCAGGGGAGACTATGATCACACGTCTTGTGGTGTCACACCACCCAGATACCCACATTCAAGCCTAGCTTCTCTTCCTTATCCGCTCCATCACTTGATACAGGTTAAAAATAAATAAATAGGTAGATAGATAGATAAAAATGAAGTGTTCTTTTTCTCTTCTGTGAAAAGACAATAACATGTATTGCTATTTCCTAGATGAGCTTATGCAGAAAAGTAAAACAATTTACAAGGAAAACTTAGCTCACCTCCTAGCACTGGGAAGCCTTC